GGATGTGTTGGTGTTGGGGTCCCTTGGGAGGGGCTCCCCTGTAGGCCAAGGTCAGCCACTGCTTTTGATTGCTCAGGGCTACCTGGTGGGAACTACAAAATGATCTACAGATGGTTGTTGCCTCTATTGAATCTATAGGTAAGTGGAAAAGACAATGCTGTAGACAGCGAGTGGTTGGTTATTCCCTGTCCCTGGGGCAGTTTAGCAGAGGGACCAGTGTTCTGCAAGGCCTGACACTGCCTATCAGATGCCTGTAAGTCTCTGAAACTGGATGAGCCTCTGGGTGATATGTGTGTAGGGTGGCGCAGGAACCCTGGGAGTCTCCTGGGTCTAGTGAGTAAATTTCCTCTTGCCGCTGCAGTGTCAGTTTACATGCCCTCGCTGTCTCTGTGGTTCGCTGTACAAGTTTCCACTTGTAGCAAGGTCAACTTCTGCCCACCCTGGGCCTAAATGCGCTACCCCAGAGCAGAGGCAGCTGCCTATCAATGTGCAGTGGGCACTTTGTGTACTGGATGGGGCAGGAGCTCAGGGAGTCAAGGGCCGCCAGGCCAATACAGACTCCTGCAATCCCCTTAAGAGATAATGCAGCTCATACAGTCAGCAGTGATCTGTCCACAACTGTTTTCTTCAAAATGCGCTCACTGCACTGGCCAACGTCTATTGCTTGCGCTAACTGCTCAACCCCAGAGCCAAGCAGGGCATAAGAGGCTACTTGTCAATGGGCTGCAGGCACTTTGTGGCTTGTGAGAAGTGAGATCTCAGGGAGACAAAGTCTGTGTGACCAGTACAGCCTCAGTTTTGCTGCAACTTCTGTTCCTGGGCGTTCCCACTGTAGACAGATCACAGTGAGACCAGCTGTTGTCAGGGATGTTCCCACAGACCCTTGTGCTCCCCGGACACAATATTGTAACTCCTGCAGGCAGCAAAGGTCTGCCTGCCATTGACCCTGTGCCAGCCAAAGTTTGTTGCCTGTGTGGATTAGGCGATCAGAGGAGGGGAAGGGCAAGACCGTGTCAGTTCACTATCAATGGGCCACCTAGGGCAATTAGTGGGTAGGATGGAGCGGGGTCTCAGAGAGACAATGGCAATCAGATCAATAGAGCCTCAGTCTTGCTGCAAATTTGGTAACTGTTGTGAGTTCCCACTGAAGACTCAGATCACAGGAAGACCAGCTGCTCTCTGGGACTGGCCCACAGGTCCCCGATATCCGCCCAAGTTCACTTTGGCAGCAGTGATCTGCCTAATCTACCTCTGAAATGTGACTCACAGAGCTGGTTGCCCTCTGGGAATGGAAATGTAGTTTACAGAGCTGGCGCTGTTGCTGGGATTGGAAATGCCTCACAGCGATAGCCGCCCTGCTGTGAATACTTTTGGTTCTGAATCATTCCGAGCCTGGCAACAATCTAGCAACAACTGCTCTGGGCAATCTGCAGGTTGGGTGGGGCAGGGTCTCAGAGAGACAATGGCAGTCAGATCAATTCAGCCTCCATCTTGCTGCAGCTTTGGTAACTGTTGTGAGTTCCTGCAGAAGACCCAGCTCACAGCAAGACCAGCTGCTGTCTGGGACTAGCCCATAGGTCCCCTATATCTGCTCAGGTTCGTGTTGACAGCAGCGATCTGCCTGACCATATCTCTGAAATGTAGCTCACAGCAGCCACATTACTGGGATTAGAAACACAGCTCTCAGAGGTTTCTAATGGCCCTGTGGGAGGGGTCTGCACAGTCAAGGTGGTAGGTCTGTAGATTGCCCTGTAGAGGGTCCGGACTAAGGCACAATGGTGGCTGCCTTTCCAGCCCTCGTTCAGATGCCAGGCAATGGAGACCTTTTCAGAATGAATCCCGTGCGAGTCTTTGACCCACTGCCGATGTCCCGGGTGAGTGTCCACAGGTCAGAAAACCTTTGCGCGGGTCCTTCAAAGGGACATCTAAGAGTTCAGTCGCCCTCCGTCTCACCTAGACGGCTAGAATCCCTTCTACAGTAAGAGTTATTGGAATCTTCTCTTCCCTGGGCTGGGACTCTGTGCTGGAGAGTCCTCAGATGAGACCAGGACCCCCCTCTCCCTCAAGAGAGCCTCTGCAGCCTCGCTGTCCCTCCCGGTGATCCTCCACCACCCACGGGTGTGGGTCCAGCCCAATTCACGACTTCACCCCTCCTACCGGCTTCGATGTGGCTCTTTGTTATTATCAGATGTAGGTGTTATGATCAGCTGGACTTCAGGTGATTCTCTGCATTGGTTATTTTATAGTTTGGTTGTAATTTCAGTGCGGTCCTGGGAGGAGACGAACCCTGCTTTTACCTGGTCCTCCATCTTCCCTCTATCAATTATGTTAACTTCAAAGCAAAGAGCAGAAGCTGAACATCTGGTGACTTGTTATTGTTTAAGCTATAACTGTTTTGTGCTTACTAGCTACATTTTTCTATTATCTCAAGCACAGTGTACTTTTACACATTTTTTTCTGGAACTTGCTTTACAAGTGGGCTGTCAGGATATGACTAACATCCTTTATGATCTTTGACTATAAGTGACTAACATATTTTCTTAATCTTTAACTATAAGCTATGTGACAACCAAAACAATTGAAACATTTAGTTAAAGCCTATACCTATATCTCTAGACTGTATGACCTAATATCTAAACATGTTTACTGTTAATAGCTGGTTTCAGTTCCTTTTGTCCCTTAGTCATAATAGAATATTTAAGACATAGGGCTTTAGAATTGGACTCCTTGGGTTCACATCCCAGTTATGTTTCTTACTAGCTGTGTGACCTCTCTCAGTCAGTTTCCTCATCTGCACAATTGAATTAATTCATAGGATTGTTGTGGAAATTCAATGTAATAACACATAAAACACTCAGAAGCATGCCTTGCACATTGTAAATGCACATAAAATTTTAGCAAGTTTTTGTATTATGTGTTAAATACACTTTGTGTGTGTGTGTGTGTGTGCGCGTGTGTGTGTGTGTGACCATTGCTCAAACTCTTTCTCAAAATGCATTTTGAAATTTATGTGTGGGATTTGGGATTAGGTTTGGCTGCTAACAGGAAGCTCAAGATGGCTATGGTTTAATAAATAAACAGTAGTTTATGCTCTCTCAGAGAGAGTAGATATTCCAGGTCAGATATGGAACCATCAAAAACCCATGATTTTTATGACTTCCTGTTCTCTTATTCTTACATTTGGCTTGCATCCTTAAGGCCATTTTGTGGTCCAAGATGGCTGCTAGAGCTTCAACTATCATGTCCAAATTGTAGGCTAGGAGAAGGAAAGATAGAAAAGACTTCCTCTGAGCTGTTGTCTCTTTCCTTTATAAATAGTCTTCCCAGAATTCTTTTACACTTTCGCTAAGATCTTCTTATAAAGAACTTAGTCACATAGCCATACCTAACTGCAAGGGAGGCTAGGAAACGCAGTGTTCTGGTTGAGTTCATTGCCATTTCAAATAAATTCAAGATTCTGTTACCACTGAAGAAGGAAAGAATGGATATTGAATGGCTGTCATCGTTTCTGTCATAGCCTATTACTTATTGGCAAGAATAGCCAAGCAAATACTACTTATTATATTAAAAATTTGGAAATATTTTTGTGTTATAGCAACCTTTTCATTATAAAGAAACTCCTAGTAGAGACGTTTGAATTACACTGATGTCATTTAATTACCAAAATATTTTCTGAGTATAGCCAAGCTTTGATCACCCATTCTTGATATCTGGAATTATTTAGACTGGTAGTCCCATTGCTTTTGCTTAGATCTTATTTTGAAGTCATTCAGCATTTGAATTTCAATGGGAATGGATGCTTGGAAAGCTCCTATCTTCCTAAGCATTTGAAGCACTAATTCATAGCTTTCCTTATAGATATATGGCAGTGTATGGGAGAAACTACACCGGGCCTTTGCCATTTGGAGTGGCTTTGGTATGACCCTAACCGGCGTTCACACTTGTGGAGATTACATGTTCAGTGGCCACACAGTCGTCCTAACTATGCTGAACTTCTTTGTCACTGAATGTAAGTATCTTTTTAGTGCTTCTATGCGTATCAGATGACTAACTGCAGAGAAAGCTGCAGGAAGGGTATCAAGTATCTACGAAGGATGGGAGAAACAGACTGATCTAAGAAACGTGACTGAGAAGCATTGGAAGGAATGTGGTTTTAAAATAATCTTTCTGTCCTTTTCCCAGATACACCAAGAAGCTGGAATTTCTTGCATACTTTATCCTGGGTTCTCAACCTCTTTGGAATCTTCTTCATTTTGGCTGCCCATGAACATTATTCCATTGATGTGTTTATTGCCTTTTATATCACAACAAGACTCTTTTTGTACTATCATACTTTAGCTAATACCAGAGCATATCAGCAGAGTAGGAGAGCAAGAATTTGGTTTCCCATGTTTTCTTTTTTTGAATGCAATGTTAATGGTACAGTACCTAACGAATATTGTTGGCCATTTTCAAAACCAGCAATAATGAAAAGACTAATTGGATGAAGACTATCTTTGTTATGGGTTCATGATTAAATATACCGTACGTGTTGAAAGTGAATAACTTTGCTTTCTCCCCCTAGGTTGTTCCTGGATGCCTTGCTTTTTGGCTTATATGTTGACAAAGTTAAGTTCCCTGTTCTGAGCAAGGCTGCGATTATAGAAAGCAAGAAAGAAAAATCAAGAGTCCTTATATATCTGTTTGAACAGAGAGCTTAAGTCAGTGTGTTCTGCCCCTTCTCTTTAGGCAGAGGTAATGTAGTGATTGAAGTCAGACTGTTACCCTTAGCCTGTTGAATATTTGCTTATTGAACTTAAGCAAATCGATTTAAGCAATTTGCTGGTTGAAAAAAAAAATTTTTTTTTTTATTTTTTTTTTATTTCCAGTAGGACTCCAGTCAGGAAATAATATTTTTTGAAGCTCTTTATTATTTTCAAAGGAAAAACCCCTGCCAAGTGAACAGCACTTGTTCTTTGAACTAATTTCTGCGTCTTTTTTAAAATGCAACTCTGGAAAGTGATCCGTTTTACTAACAAATAATTTTTGTCTTCGAAACCATCTTTAAGAAAAGTATATTGAACATACCAGGATGCCTGAAACAAGAAGAGAAAGGGGCCATAATGAGGTGACAAAGTACAAATATAGTACTGGCATTTTTCACCAAAGATGCAATGAAAGATACAGTTGCTATTTTGTTCTGAGAGTTCAGTATTCATGAGGGGAAAATGACCTATAAATGAATTTTAGTGATGTAAGTACCTGGAATAACTTTGTGCTATAGCTGTTAGATGACAGCCCAATTTTAGGCTTTTTAATGGTAATATTTAATGAGCAAAATAGTGGAGTGTTTTACCAGATGTTAGATAAAGTTCTTATGTCCTTAAGTAGGGAGATATGCATGCAAAAATTTTTTTCTCTTTCTGAAAAGAACTTTATAAAAGGGTGCAGACATAACGTAACTTTTTAGTTTTTGAAATTTCTTGTTCTTGACCATCAGAAGCAATCACAGACATATATGGATATGAGAAGATTTTGTTTTTTAGCTTTACAAATACAGTTGTGTACATACATTCTTTCTATTTAGTCTTAATTTGGCATTCAGGAATTGATATAGATTAGTTGCTGTTTACAACACTAGAATTTAGTACCTTATGTAATTTAAAATTTGATCTGTGTGATAACTTTTGTCACTTCACTTTTAATGATTTTATAAAGTAGTTATGACAATAGGATGATTGTATAATTGGAATTTGAACCCCAACTTATGAATTTAGCCACTTAGAATATTAATTGTGTAGTTTTTACATTCCATTTTAAAACAAGGAGTTAGAAAAGGTGCTGGCATATTGAGGTCTAAAATCAGGCCCTCTTAACAGGAGCCTGCTCCTTATATGGGTAAAATATTTTATTTTTGCACTTTGAGTCATATTCCCACCCCTGTATAAGCTATGGAGGACTCTCGAATGGTTTGGGCAGGAAAGGAATATTATGTGAACAAGTTTAGCCAGTGCTGAATGACCCCAGTTTGGATCTGCTCTGACCATCATTTTTTATTTCTCACTTGAGAAATGGCACAAAGCAATTCAAGTTTTATTATGCTTTTAAATCTCATACTTCAGAATCTTATAATATCTTAAATTGTTGTTTCTATTACATGCTACAGAGAAACATATCAACATGTCATCTAAGGAAACTACATAATTATGAAGGGTGAAGGATACTTCCTATGCCAGTTAGAGTAGTTTGACCCTTGAGGTCAAAAGATGTGTTACTGCCATTTTTTCCCAAATGACAACAGGACTGAATTTAGCTAGAGACTAATGTTGGCTTTTGGAAAAATGTTTGAAAAAAATCTGTGGTGATATTAATTCAAAAATGTTAAGTAGCTACTTCATAGTAAATATCTTAACATCAGTCCTCTTTCCTTGATATAGATTCTATTCTAGAACAAAATAGAAAAAAATAAATTGAAGCTAATTTGCAGAGCTATTAACTTTGCGAGTGCCTAACAGCAGACCGCTGGGAAGATTGTAAAATAACTTTTCAGCTTTGCATTTATCATATTTGTTTTGAAGAAAAGGTAAGCTAGACTTATAATTTATTGTTATAACTCTTACAAAGCAGTGTTTACATAAATCAATCATCTCCAAGTCTCTTTCTTGAAAAGTGAGACAAATTTTTTTTCCTTAATGTGAAATCTATATTTTACTCGCTTTTTGTTTTGTCCAGAAATTTCCAGACTTTGGTTTTTGTTTTGTTTTTTTCTTTGTTAAAATCTAAACCACAACGAATGTTTTTACATTTACATTTTGGGTGTGAATGTGGCTAGGTAGAGAAGCTACACGCCCTAGATCAACATGTTTTTTGACATTGTAATAAGTTCTACAGTTGCAGACTTGTGAGAGGCTTACATTATTAAACACCAAGACCTCAGTATAGAAGGCACCAAGACGGTTTTTGGTTTGAGGATGCAAACTGGAGATTATATTGAAAGTTCTTGATGCATTTTCTATGTTCCTGGGGGCAGTGTGGACTTTTTTTTTTTTTTTTCTTTTACAGTCCATTGCAGGACAGTGTTACTGAAGAGTAATCGAAGTTTATAGGGAGTAGAATGTTTTGAAGATGGCATATTTGCTGTTATCACCAAATAATTTGGGAGGTATTTTATTGGCTATGCTACAGAATTCTCAGCATGCCTATCCTCTCCTTATTCTCTGTGGCCAGCATTATTAGAGTAAAAAATACAACTTTCAAGTGCTGGAACTATTCATTAGTATCCTTTTAAATCAGAAAGCAGTGAGCTTAGCCTTAGAATCAGTCAGCTAATAACTGTGGACTGTTCGCCAGGAAAAAACCATTGACTGAGAGACCTGCTGGTAGTGTAACTTTGACACTGCAAGTGGCATTCTTCTCTACCCTGTACTTGCCTGGTTGTTGTTACTTAGAATTCGAAAAATTCTTTAGCTTCAAAATGGAGAACAGGAGAACCAAATGCTTTTATGGCTGATATGAAACAGTCTGTTTTAGGGACATCCGTTTGGAAAGTATTATTTATATATTCAAAGTCATATTAATAACACTAACTGCTTTGTATTCAGCAAAAGTCATTTTCACCATTATGAAACATCAGAAAGTTTCATAGTAAACTTTTTTAAGGATCCTAATTCCAAAATGCTTGAGAACATTAACTATATTCTTGTTTTAAACCCTCTGACCTAATAAAGTTAATTATTTGTTAGTCTTTTTGTAGACAAGTTATCCTTTACTAAAAGTAACAATGGTAATAGTCATTTGTCAGATCTTTATGGTATTCAGGCATTTGAGACAAGAAAGCTCTCGTTTAGAATAGTTCAATAGCTTTCTCAAACAGTATCGGTTTCATTTAGATAGTTTCAATGCCAACTTTACGTGATATTTAAGATAGTTTGCATTTGTAAAAAATTTAGCCTGAATTATCCCTATCTCTCTGTAGAGAATTATTAGCAACATCAAAAGTCAGGCTGCTTCAGGTGACCAATGAGAAAGGAGAGGGAGAGGTTCTTTTTCCCTCTCTGACATTAAGTGGCTTTGAATGACTGAAATTACTGTGGAAGTAGATTTTGGTCCCCCTCTCACCTACCCCTCATCGCCAGCAAATGCCACAGTTTCAAGGAACTAAAATGTGGCCTGTTACTTTGTATCAAGTTAAATAAAAATATCTATGAAATCTATAAGCCATAATTCAGCTACCATTAAAGTTGGTTTTTGGAATATGTCCTGCCCTAAATTAACCAAAGGACTTTTTATTCAGTGTACTCCATGTTTAAGCATAAGAAAGCTTTGTGCCAGATATGGAGAGAGAAAGAGTACTGTTAATTTCATTGTTATTTCAGGTCTGTTTGAATCTGAACTACTGGGTTGTCCGAACCTAACCAAGCAATGTTATTAGTAATATTATCTTTAAATTGCTTAATTTTAACATTTTTTAAATTTAGAGAATCTATGGATTGTTAGGATAATTGAAGTATTTCTGATATGGAACAAAGGAAGTAGAAACTGGTACATGATGGGGGAAGCGAAATTAGCTTGGATTAAAGTGGGCATGTTTCAGGAATTCTACCTAAATGTCACCCTATCCACAGAGAAACTAGTGTTACTTGAAGATGTGAAAGTTCCTGTGGTAGCCATACCTTGAAGCACACAGTATTGTATATAAGTAAATATCTTGATTCTAAATTAAATCTAGATTTAACTAATATATGTTATTTTATATCTTTGTTGTATTAAAATGTTTTAAAACACTAAAAATAAAACATTTGAAAGTTGGTTTACAGTCTCTTATTTGTCTTTGCATTATTAATGCAGCCGGCCTATTTTTTAATACAGTGAATTTTTATTTTTGCAAATGGTTAGGCCCTACAACTTTAAATCCAAATGTAGTATCTAGTCTCTGGCATTTTCTAATTCTTAGTTGTTCCTTAGATAACTCATTTTCCCTTTCCCCTTTCTTTTCTGTAAACTAGGGGGAAAAGTGACCTTCCTCAGGATATTAGAATAATTGTAGATTAAGTTGAGAGGGAGCAAATAACTATTCCTGGATACATTAAAGTTTTTCTTTGTTATTTATTTATTTAGTTAGTTTTTTATTTATTTTAAGTGTAGATTATATTGGAAGATAACCATCATCCTGTCAGGTCAGCTTTGGAGATAATGATGAACAGAAAAAGAAGGGAAGCAGTTGTGAGGGGTAGTCCAGTAGCCTAGAATCATGGAGAAGTGGAACCCTAAATATTGTCACTGGTGCAGGACCACATGAGCTTAATCCACAATTGATCTTGTCTTGGTTCCATAGTGTAGCAGTTAGCATGTCTGCTTTACACAACTGAATTTGTCTTCACGATTACTAATAACTGTAGCCTCTCTGGTGCTGGCCCCAGCTGCTCTTTCTCTCAGGAACTATAGAACAGAATAGTCCAGAACAGACCTAGAGGCTGCTTGGTGGAGAAGAAAATGCACTGGATTTAAATTCTGAGGTCCTGGGTATAAGTTACACCTCTATCGCTGAGTAAAGTTGGCCTTTTCTTCCAGCCCCACTTAACCTTATGTGTAAAATGGCGGGGAAATGCCTACCTCATAGATTGTATTAAGGGCCAGATTATGAAAGTACTGTAGCCTTGCTGGCCCAGTACATGGTACATAGTGCTGAAATAGTCATTGAATTTAGGTCAATAAAATAGAGCTTATGTCCCAGGGAATTAATAATCTAGCTGGCAAGATGACATAAAGGGCTAGCTAATGACATTCATTGGTGGACTAGACCAGCAGTTTTAAAATTCCTTGGCTGAACTTCTTCAGGGGGAAGGGAAGGGAGTTGGAGCTTGTACCATTTTCTCCCAAAGTTGATGTTTTACATATTTGACTTTCTTAGTTTCAAACAAACAAACAAACAAAAAGGTGGTGGGGAGGTGAAGATAGGGGAAGGAAATGTTTGGAAACGACTGAGGCAATAGACAAAATTATTTTCTTCATTTCATGGTAGCTTAAAAGAGGAAGGGCTCACTGGGAGCCGAGGATCCAAGAAGAATTCGCTAAGCATGTAAAACTTGAACCGAGCCCTCCCTGAAGGATAATTCGTAAGAATATAATGAAAAGTTTAGAGAGTTCTAATTGTCATGCATTTTTTGGATTTATTTGTGTGTGTATTACGGAGCTGTTGAGGGGATATGTGTTTGATTTTATAATAAATGGAAGCATTGGGAATGCCTGTTGCTAGAGTCTAAATTGTGGGGACAAGTATAAGTAGTTCTCTAAAACAGGAATTGGTAAAGGGTAGAAGTGTAAGTCAAAAAGAGAGAGATAAGATGGTGAAAAGTACACAAAGATAACTGGAGATGAAAGGAAGGCTAGAGACTCCAAGATAATATAGGTCAAGGAATCAGGACCAGGCACAGCTTGTAGGAGGCCTTTGCCCCTAGTTGAGGAAGGTCAGGACACCAAACAAATGAGCTACCAACTGCTACTGGCTGGTGTGTTATGAATCTAGAATATATAACTACGTTGTATCCAGAATTGTCTTTCTTGTAGTTGTGTGCCTAACCCACCCATCAAGTGAGGTGGGAGCCGGCTCTGGTGGAGACTTGAGGAGGGTGCTGGGGTAAGAGAATGCCTCAGGGGAGCTCAGTTATCACCTTCAGCTCTAACTTTGAAGAAGACCAGATGATAGCTCTAAGACCTCTGCTAGGATAGCATGATATTTAGGTGCTATATGTTCTCAGCTCATAGGGCTCCCTACGAGAGCCAGAAATACAAAACCACCATGACCTGTTCTATCTTTACTTAAGAGCCCTGGATCCACTCTAAAGAAAATACCTACACCTAATGGTTTTTAAATACAGACTAATCAGCAGTCTTCATCTCTAAGACATCAAAGTGCATGAAATTTGATCCTATTTTTCCACAAGAACTGATTTTGAGGCTTAGCTGGGGAGCATTCTGGCAGGAGTGATGTAATTCGAGGGACTGCAACACGGTTGAAATTTCACATGTAGAAATTTGATAAGCCTGACTGTCCAGGCAGGATTCTGAATTTTCTTCTCTATTGATTCCACAGTGGTACTAGAGATTCCTACTATATTTTTAAAAAGTTATTAATTGTAAGTAAATAATTTATGAACATGGTAACAGTATATAGTGAAAACTCTTCCTCTCACCCCTGCACCTTTCGTGCTTCTTCCAAGAGGCAACCATTTGAACTCGTGTGTTTTCTATGCATATACAAACAAATAAGTATTTTTAGCTTTTAGTTTTACATATTTTACACAAATTGCAGCACATACACGTACATGCATATATATACATGATTTTGCACCTTGCTTATTTCACTTAATGTGCTTTCCCTCCAAGGACACACTTTAGTTGAATTAGTTGAGTTTATTGCTCATTGCCGTGAGGAAAGAACACATACCATGAAGAATTATAGGGCATTTCAGTTGGACAGTGTTGGAAAGGGCTTACTATAATTTGGGTTTGGATTAGATGGTTTTTGGGCAAAGTTTCAAGGAAGCGTGGATTTGCTCTGGATTGGATGCTTTCAAGGATGCTGGGGGCAATTCTATGATTGTGTATCTTAATCTTAGCAATAAGGCAGGAGGAATGAATCAAGGCTAATGTTAAAATTGATAAAGAAACAGTAGTCATATTAGCCAGGATAGAGGGATATTTGGTCGTTTTTGCTGACTCGGTAATGCTTATGTTTTTATCTGTGTTCAGACATGATTACTGAGTAGTCTTGTTTTTGTCTTTATCACAGTCACAGATCTCTTGTCTAATGTTGGTGTTGTGTGAATTTTATGTCAAGGGGAAAACAATAAGGCCCATCTGTGAGTGCCAGGCCAGCCTCTAGCAACACCTAGTTGTGGCTAATGGTACCAGGAGCTGCTTTTCTCTTTCTCCGATGATATATTAGTGTTCTCTCCATTCAAGTACATAAGGAATGAGATTTGCTTCATTCTCGTTAATGAAAGCTTGATATTTCATTGTATGGATGTCATAATTTGTTACTCATTCCCTGAAAGGTGGGCATTTAGATTGTTTACAATTCAAATAGTGCTGCAATAAATAACATGTTACTTTGCATGTGTACAAGTTTATTAGGAGAATAAATTGCTAAAAGGGAAGTTGTCGGATCCAAAGTTTTGTGCGTTTTAAATTTCGTTAGATATTGTCAGATCAACTTCAGTAGAAGTTGGGCCAATTTATTCTTTCACTAGCAACGTATGCGTTTTCCTGTTAATCCACATATTGCCAAACAGTGTAATTACTGAATTTTCTTATTTTTGCCAATCTGATAGGTTTAAAAATGATATCATAATTCCCTTTCTACATAAGTAAACTGCAGAAATATTTTTATTTTATTTTCATTTATGTTTTATTTTAAAATTTTTATTAAGTTTATTGGGGTAACATTGGTTAATACAATTATATAATTTTCAGGTGTACATTATAATTTGACAACTATATATTCTATTGTGTGATTACCACCCAGAGTCCAGTTTCCTTCAGCTACCATATATTTGATTCCCTTTACCCACTTCCCCCTCCCCCGACCCCCTATATTTGCCCTCCTTTACCCTGTCAACCCCCTATATTTGACCTCCTTTACCCTGTCTGCCTCTCTCCTCCTCCCCCATCCCCTACCCTCTGGTAGCCACTAGTCCATTGTCCATGTCCCTGAGTCTCTATTTGTCCTGTTCATGTGTTGCTTTTAGGTTTATATCCCACATATAAGTGATATCATGTGATTTTTAACTTTTCTGTCTGGCTTATTTCCCTAACATGATTATCTCAAGGTCTGTCTATGTTGTCGCAAATGGCAGTATTTCATTTCTTCTTATGGCTGAGTAATATTCCATTGTATATATGTACCACAGCTTTTTTAGTCACTCATCTATCATAGGGCACTTCGATTGCTTCCATGTCCTGGCCACTGTGAGTAGTGCTGCTATGAACATCGGTGTGCAAATATCTTTTCAGATATGGGTTTTCAAGTCTTTGAGATAAATACACAGTACAGGGATTGCTGGATGATATGGTAGATCAATTCTTAGTTTTTTGAGGAACCTCCATACTGTTTTCCATAGTGGTTGTACCAATTTGCAGTCCCACCAGCAGTGTATGAGGGTTCCTTTTTGCAGAAGTATTTTTAAATAGTAATATAATAAAGGAATGGTGGAATGGTTATAACTTTTAGTATGCAAATCATTCTGAAGACTTAACTGAATTACAGACTGTCATATATTTTGTTAAAAACACATGACTATAAGATGGGAAAGGAAGGTAATTTAGTAGATCAAGGACTGTTTCTCCCATTTTATTTGTGGCATAATCTTTAACTTGGCCATCTCTTGCCATTGGAGAGTAGTGGCTTTTTCTGATAATTGTCTTCCCTAAGCAGCCAAAGGAAGCTAAGTCCTGCCTGGTCTAAGGGAAAGTCTGAAGAACTCAGTTGCTCTCACTGTTTAAAGTTCTGTAAAGGGTAAGTGTTAATACCTGTCTGCCCACCAGCAGCTACTGTTGGATCTGCCATCACCTATGAGACATTCCAAGGACCCAAATTTACCTGTCTCAGGTATAGGGCTCCATTATAGATGTGTAGAACCTGAGGTATGGAAGATGTTTTGAAAGAATATTTAGCAAATATTTATTAAACACCTACTATACACCAGGCACTATTTAAACACTGGTACATTAGTGGTAAACAAAACAAAGTCTCTGCCCTCGGCAAGATTACTTTTGAGACAATAAACAAATATATGAGAAAGAAAAGCA